GCCTGTAGTTCCAGCTCCTTGGAAGGCTGAGGTGGAAGGATCGCCGGAGTCCAGCAGGTTGAGACTGCGGTGGCCAGGAGCAGCCACTGCACTCCAGTCTGGGGTGACAGAGTGAGACTCCAACTCAAACAAACAAACAAACAAACAAAAAAACCAAGAGTGATTGACAGAGGCAGTGTCTCAACATTTCAGTGTTTTAGGGGAGATGGCGGGAGAGAAGGATGACTGGGTGCTGAATCTGCCCTGGGTGCAGATGGGGTAACTGATGATTTCTCGCCACTTGGCAGGGGTCATGACTTCAAATCTGAAACTGTCCCGATATCATATGACTCGGGACCATGGCTAGGGAGATTCATTTGAGCACCTGGAAAGAGCTCAGCAGAGATCATGAAAATGAGTCAGCTGGCTAGAAAGTAATCATGCGATGGAACCAAGCGACTGGACCTTCAGGACGTCTCCCAGTGAGCAGGGATGATAAAGAGATGCATCTAGGGAGAAACAAACCTGTAAGGATCCTAATGCTGGTACTGAATAACCAGGCTCCATGGTGCTCAGTAAAAGAGGCTTGGGTCCATAGACAGCCATCACATGCTTGTTCTGTCCAGTTAGGAGACAACAAGGTTTCCTGGACCAAGAGTTGTGTGGCACCAGAGGATTTCAGGCACGTTTTTATAGGAATCTGGGGAGCATTTACGGAGGGCGGCCTTGCTCAACGAGTACAATTTGGACACTTGGAAACTTAGGAATCTACAGCATTCCTAGAGAGACACTGATTTGAACAGCAGTGTGACGATGAGTGTTAAGGAATGATGAGTGGCTCCACTTCTCTCCATCCTTCCATCCATCCATCCGTCTATCCGTCTGTCCAAGCGGTTCCATCTTGTGGAAGGGATTTGAAATACGCCGTATTGGGCATGGCTAGAGAGAAGGGTGCGCAGAAGGGAACTCTGGGTCACAGGCCAGTTTGGAGGTGGCCTTGAGGCTACGGAGTTTGGTCTGTATTTCAAGGGCAGTGGAGAACCGCTGAGCACTAGGCATAGTTGATAAAGATTAAGCAAGTGAAGGTGGGCACAAAGGATTGGAGTCCAGCCCAGCTGAAGATGGCAGCATTCTGGAGAGCGTTAACTAGGACTGCAATGATGGGAATGAAAAGGAAGGCCTAGATATAGAGTTGTAGGGAGGCTGATAGACTTGACCACCAAGAGATCGGTTAGGGAGTGGACAAGTCAAAAATGAAAAATAATCTTGTATAGGGAGACTGACTTGCTTATAGTTTAGCAAGAAGAAGTTGTTCTAGCAAAACAATGAACTTGGTTTTGAACGTGGGCATAAGCTTCCTGAGCGGCTCCTAGGAATTTGCCCAGGAATTTACACTTGTCTTTGTTAACGAAGTGTGTGTAGCTCCAGCCCAGCAACCCTTGCAGGTCTCAGGACCCAGCACCTGAGGAGGCATGGGGCGGACCACACTGGATGAGAGTGTGTCTCCTCTCCTGGTGTGTGGCCGGGCTTTTGTTTCCTGGGCAGTGCTGACAGTGCTGGGCACATGTGTTCTGGATTCCACACCAGATCTGCGTCCCACCCTGCTGGTGGCTGCTGCGTTGCACGGTGGCTTTTCAGAGCCCTCGGGCCCTTTCTGTTCCCTGTCCCTCTTTGCGAATGACATCTGCTGGGAGATTGTCCCTGGGTTCTCTGATTGTAACTCAAGGCCCACCTAAGTGCCTACTGAGGAAAATCAGATAACCAGTAAGTTTTTTAAAAAGTTAGCTGTTCTTCCTGCCCTGCATGACTATTCCTTGGTACTCTCTGTAAGAGATCAGGCACTTCTGTGCTAAATTGAAATTCAATAGTCACTGAGTGATTCCTCTGAGTAGTGGTGGTTACAAGTGGAGAGCCAGAGTCGTTTTAATGGTGGTACTCCTTGCTTTCTGGAAAATATCTACTTGAATGAAATTCTCAAGATGGCCATTCAGTGAACATGAGTTGATTTTTATGGGGTTTTATCTCAGTTTAGAATGCAGGGGAAACACTCGTGGCAAGGGGTGGGGCTCCACAGTCCACGGGGACCATTTGCAGAGATAACCTGGGTGTGATTTGTTTACTTTAGATTCTGAAGGCCTTCTCAAAACCAAAGGAAAAGAATCAGAAGCTTTACAGTCGAGCACAACGGCACCAAGAGAAGAAGGAGAAGATTCAGAGGCATAATCGCAAGCTGGGTGACCTGGTAGAAAAGAAAACCACCGACTTGAGAAGTCATTATGAGCGTCTGGCAAGTCTTCGGCGGGCCCATATATTAGAGCTCACCTCTGTCATTTTTCCCATCGAGGAAGTGAAGACTGGTGTGAGGTACAGTCGGGAAGTCTTGACTGGGGGACAGATCCCATTTTTGAAGTGTGTCAGCATCTTTGTTGCTGGGCCTCATTCTAGGGTCATCGGTTCCTCTGGTAACGAAACTTAAGTCCACCGTTTCAGCAAACAGGACATACTGCACAAAGTTAGGGCAGCAGCCAGGCGAGGGGCGGGCCAGGTCTCGGCACCCACACCAGCTTCTAGGTGAGAATGACTCACACCCCTGGCTAAGAGCCATCTGGCTGGTGAGTGATGTCTGGCCGCTTATTGGTCATGTGACGTGAGGCATGTTCTTGGCCCTCAAGGTCCTATTTCCTTGTCTGTTAAACAAGGATTTCAAAGTGCCTACTTGACATAGAAAGCATGAGCTGGTATATAAGTCGACGCTGAGTGCTTGGGGTCTCCTGGATGGTGGGCATTCCATGTGACTCAGCCTTTTCCTGGAAACTTGTTGGTTATATTAGCTGCTGTCCAGCACCAAATACCATACCATGATTCTAGTCTTAGGTGGCAGTGCATGGATACTCTCAGGTGGATCAGACAGTACAGTGGTTCCCCCACCAGGCTGCTCATCTTGGTCACCCGGTGGCCTTTGAAAAATAGAGGTTCTAGAGGGCACATCTCCAGCCTCCCAGTCTGTCCAGTAGTACTTTGATCCTTTTAAACTTCCCCAATGCTGCTGCTGGTCAGAAGATTTGGAGACTACCACCAAAGTCTTCCATCGCTCTCACTAACCGCCAGGTTTTCTATCTGGAGTTCCCTGTGGCTTCTGGCTACTCTTGCTCTCGGCACCTTTCCCTGGAGTCTGACACACAGTAGACCATGACAGTTTTGTACCTTTTCCCACCTGCCTCTACTCAAGTCTGTCCTTTGGTCTGTTGCCAGAGTTGGCCTCCTAAAAACCGCAAAGACTGATTGTCGCTTGCAGCTTGAGAACCTGCTCTAAGTAACTTGTCACTAGTAAGAATTGGCAAGTAGAAAAAGAAAAAGGAAGATTCAAAATAGAGCAGAATAGAAAGTTCAGAAACATTCTCTTTCTAAGTTGGCATTTTGGATCAGTGGGGGAGACTTAGATTACCCAAAACTTGGTGTAAAGACGGCTGGCCAGGTCTTGAGGGAGGACACACAGCTGGCAAAAGAAAAGCATTATGCCAAAATACATTCTGGTGGGTCAAAGATCACAGTATGAAGACACTTTTCAGTAGACAGAGACTAAAGCACCATCTCAGATTTTGGGAGACTGACAGCTGAGTGCAGTATGTGATCTTGGATTGGATCCTGAACCCCAGAAAGGATATTAGCAGGACGGTTGGAGATCATTGAATATGTTCTGTAAATTAGTTATTAGTATTGTAGCAGTACTAATTCCCTGACTTGGATCGTTGTATTTTCCTGAATGATAACTTGGGGAAGTTGTGTGAAATATATAAAGGAAAATTAAAATTCTTGCAACTTCTGTAAAGCCGAAGTTTTCTCACAAAGAAAACACACACATGCACATATGAGAAGAGAAAACATGGAGAAAAACTCCTTCTTGCCCGTACTGTGTTAATTTTGGGGGGGCATTGGTCGGAGCCATACCCTGTTGCCCAGGCTGGAGTGCCCCATGGCCACCACAGCCTCACCCTGCCGGTCTCAGGTGATCCTTCCTCCTCAGTCTTCCAAGTAGCTGTAACCAAGGCTTGTGCCACAATGCCCGGCTAATTTTTTGGTTTATTGTAGAGACAAGGTATCTTCAAGTGGCCCAGGCTGGTCTCGAATCCCTGGGCTCAGGCAGTCCTCTTGCCTCCACTTCCCAAAGTGCTGGGATTATAGGCGTGAGCCGCCGTGCCCAGATAATCTTTCACTCAGTGTATATTATCATGTATCACTCATTTTTTACAGAAGCTGGTGGTTTTAAATGTTGTCCCTGTAGTAAGATATCTTGTTCATTTGCATTTCTGTCCACTTTCTTGAGTGGTAGAAGGGGCAGAAGTGCAACTTAGCATTGGCCTCAGCACCCTGGCCCGGTCCTATCTCTGGCAGCCAGTAGGCGTTATCTCACACGCGTGTGGTGGCAGAGGGGGGATGGAGAACGACTGGCCAAGAGCAGGAATCTCAACTTGCTCAACTTGGCACAGCACGGAAGGTGCTCCCTGGACTTCCCTGCACCATTGCTTGACACGCCCCTGGCGAATCCTGCACGCCCACCACCTGAGCCTCTCTCTTCCCCACGTACACTGTGTCCTTCCCCTCAGTGCTTTTGAACCTGCCACGACTTCTCCCAGTGAACTTTGTTGAGTGACAGGTGTCTCACTGTGTTGCCCAGGTGGACTTGAACATGGGTTCCAGCGATCCTCTCACCTTAGCCTCCTGAGTAGCTAGGACTACACAGGCATGAGCCACTGTGTCCAGCTTCTCATGGTGGATTTTTGTTCTGTCCTTGAGGCCAGCAGTTCTTGCAGTGTGATCCATAGACCTCTGCAGGTCTCTGAGACCCTCTCAGGGGTCTGTGTGATCAAAACTATTTTTAGAATAACATTTTAGTCATTTCCCTTGAGGATAAGTCTTTTTTTTTTTTGAGTTGGAGTCTCACTCTGTCGCCCAGACTGGAGTGCAGTGGCCGCTCCCGGCCACCGCAGCC